ACCCACCCCTTTTTCGCCGCTGCCCCAGCCCCAGGCTCTGCGCTTTGGTCCGTGCCCCGCGCGTCCTGCTCTTTACAGCGCTGACGCTTCCAGACCCCTGCCCAGACCTCGTCCGCTGAGCTAGGGTCCTCCGGGCCGAGGCGCAGGCCGCCTCCCACGCTCCTGGCCTGGGTCCGGGGAAGGATGGGGCCTGGGAGCGTGGTGTCCGCCAGAAGCGCTGGGGCGGCCAGAATCCCAGTGTCTGCCTAGCTGGTGGGCTTCCTCCGACTCCCTGCTGCGTCGCCCTCACTGCCCCTTTCTCTTTTCCCCGGGGCGGGCTGGGTAGTCGCCTCTGACCCTGTTCTGTCTGGGGCCCGTCGGGTGCCTGCTAAGCAGGGAGTTGGGGGAGGTATTTCTTTTGGGCCTGGGGCCCCATGAGGTCTTAGCACCGTTGAGCGTGGAAGGCGGGAACAGCGCGCTGAAGGGAGAGCGGACACAGGGCGGAAGGGAGCAGTTTGTTGGGGCAAATATTTAGCCATGAAGAGCGGGGCGCAGCTCTCACTCAGCTGGGCTCAGCGGCCAGGCAGGGCGCTTTCCAGGAACCACCCGAAATGCCCCCACCACCACCCCCCCCGCCAGCCTCCCGGCTGTCGGCCAGCAACTTGGCGCTGACCCCGCTGGCCTGGGGTGCTGCCGTCACTCTGGGCGCAAGGCCTGGATGGAGAGCGGGACGCCAAGCCCCCCGGCCTGGTCTGGCCTTCTGCCTCTCGACTCCCAACCCCCCACCGATCCCCGCCTGCTCTCGCCCTCTCAGGCCTCCTGGGGCCCAGTTCCCCCAGACCGGAGGAGCCCTCGCCACCATCCCGCCTGGCTCAGCTCCTCCAGCCTGCAGGCCGTCCCGTCGAGGCTTCCGGCCTCAGCACGCTGCTCCCCGGCCTCCCCACCCAGGCCCATTCCAGACCTTGGCCCCAGCCGGGGGTTCCTGGCTCCCCACCCCACCCCGCACCTCAGTGGCTTCCCGTCTAGCCGCCATGGGGTCTTTTCCCTCCAGCGCCCACAGCATGATCGTCTGTGGCGCTGTCCCCAGGCCGCCTGCCCCCCGCCCCCCAGCACCCAGTACTCACTCTCCTCACCCCCACCCCTCTCTGGGGCACCCGGTCAGGCAGCCGCGCGGGCAGGGTACAGGTCCTGAGTTGGCTGGAATGGAAGCTCCGCTCCCAGGTCTCATGCAGCCTCCAGGGGGCTGGAGGAATTCCATCCGGGACAAAAGCTGGTCTCAGGACCCCAACTGACTACCCTTCCCTCAGCCTGAGCCTCTGACATCTATCCCTTCCCTCGCTGCTGCTCCCTCCTCGCCCCCCCCCTCCCCAAGTGACCCCGCCCAGCAGGCCCTGCCCATGCTGCTGCCACCGACCCACAGGCCCCGGGTCCGCACCCCAGGCTGGAGGCTGGGCTGTCCCGACAGCGGGGACGGACGGCCAGCTGGTTCCCTTCAGGGGCACGCGCCTCCCCCTGCACCCACCCCTGTAACCCGAGCCGCTCACAGCGCCTCCCCGCGCAGCCCCACTGGGCGCTAGGCCCCGACAGCGAGTCCGCAGGCGCCATGGGCCTCGGGGCCTGCATGTCCTTGGCGGCGTCGGGGGCCCGAGTCCAGGCTCGCCGGCTGCAAGCCGTGCTGGGCGCCCTGTGCCTGCTGCCGGTGCTCCTGCTGCTGGCCCGGCTCGGGGCCCCGGCGGCCCGGCTGGGGGCCAGCGCGGTGCAGGTGAGAGCGGGTGGGGATGGGCAGAGGGGTGGGCGCCCGGGGGGTCCAAGAGCCTGCGTGTCCCGGGGCGGGGGTGGGGGGGTGGTGCCGGAGGAGGGGGAAGCCAGCATCAGGCCTCCAGCTCCGCCCACTCCGACCTGGCCTGCGGTTAGTAACCTTTTTTTTTCCTGGCTGTAAAAGCAGCAAACTGGGGTAGAAAACCTGGAAACGCAGAAAGACCAGGGAGGGAATTTCAACGCTCCCTGAACCACGCACCCGCCCTGTTTTCTTTAGTTCTTTTTCCGAGTTATTTCAGACGTGGGGATGATCCCTACTGCGTCCCCACGAGCACTCGCTTTCCTTGAAGGGAGACATCGCCGCACCCTACCCCGCTGGTGTCTTCGCCACCCCAGGACCCGGTCCTCTGCCCCTCCAGGGGCCCCGCAGACGCCGCTACACGCTGACCCCAGCCAGGCTGCGCTGGGACCACTTCAACCTCACCTACAGGTGTGACTGTGGCCCAGGATGGTGGGGGTGGGGGAGCATGCCCCAGCCTGGCCACCACCCCTGACCTGAATCTCCATCCCAGGATCCTCTCCTTCCCACGGAACCTGCTGAGCCCCACTGAGACCCGGCGGGGCCTGGCCACTGCCTTCCGCATGTGGAGTGACGTGTCCCCCTTCAGCTTCCGAGAGGTGGCCCCTGAGCAGCCCAGCGACCTCCGCATAGGTGGGCGCCGTGCCCCCGCCCCCACCTGGCCCCGCGGCCCCCTCTCAGCCCTGTGCTCCCCCAGGCTTCTACCCGGTCAACCACACGGATTGCCTGGTCTCCGCACTGCACCACTGCTTTGATGGCCCAACAGGCGAGCTGGCTCATGCCTTCTTCCCTCCGCACGGCGGCATCCACTTTGATGACAGCGAATACTGGGTCCTGGGCCCCACGCGCTACAGCTGGAAGAAAGGTGATGGCCTGGCCTCCTGTGGGGCCCTCTGCACCACGGTGGGCACAGCAAGAGGGCTTTGCGGGGGGGTGGCTGTGATTTGGGGTCAAGTAGGCAGGAAGGGGGGTGCTGGGAGGCGGCCATGGGCCTGGGTTCCAGGAGCCCTGAGCACCCCCGCCCCCCGCCCCCGCCCCCTGCTGCTGGAGACGGAGCTGGAGCTACATTCCTGGGCACCGAGCTCACTGCCTCTGGAACATTCTTATCTTCCCATGGCTGTGCTGAGGGAGGCTCCGTGGCTACAGTGCAGCAGATGTGGCCTCGGCAAGCACGGCTTGCCGGCAGAGTGGGGCGGGCTGGGCCAGGGTTCGAGGGGCTGACCCGCCGGACCTGCAGGCGTTTGGCTCACCGACCTGGTGCACGTGGCGGCCCACGAGATTGGCCACGCGCTGGGCCTGATGCACTCGCAGCATGGCCGGGCGCTCATGCACCTCAATGCCACTCTGCGTGGCTGGAAGACGCTGTCACAGGACGAGCTGTGGGGGCTGCACCGACTCTACGGTGAGTGCTGGGGGGGGGGGGGGGGGGCTAGCGGGCAGGCTGGTGGGCCGGCCCTAAAGCCACCATGCCCTCCGGCAGGCTGCCTGGACCGGCTGTTCGTGTGCACGTCCTGGGCTCGGAGGGGATTCTGTGACACCCGCCGGAGGCTTATGAAGAGGCTCTGCCCCAACAGCTGCGACTTCTGCTACGGTGAGGCCGGGTCCCCACTCTGGGCATGGGGTATGGCTCTGGTCGGGGGGAGTGGGGGGGTGGGGACACTGATGTGGTCCTCTCTGACCCCGCTCCCTTCCACTGCCGAGCAGAGTTTCCCTTCCCCACGGTGGCCGCCACTGCACCACCACCCAGGACCAAGACCAGGCTGGTGCCTGAGGGCCGGAATGTGACCTTCCGCTGTGGCCAGAAGATCCTCCACAAGAAAGGCAAAGTGTAGTGAGTGGCCCTGCCCCATGACCCCCCGAGGGTGGGCAGCGGGGGCTCGGGACCCTACCCAGCCCTGCCCCCCTCCCCGCAGCTGGTACAAGGACCAGGAACCCCTGGAGTTCTCTTACCCTGGCTACCTGGTGCTGGGCGAGGCACACCTGAGCATCATCGCCAATGCCATCAACGAGGGCACGTACACGTGTGTGGTGCGCCGGCGGCAGCGCGTGCTCAGCACCTACTCCTGGCGAGTCCGAGTGCGGGGCTGAGCGCCCTGCAGGGCTGAGGCCGCTGATAAAGCACTTTCTCAATGAAGTCTGCGCACCCTTTCTTGGGAGGGAGGGTGGCCAGCCTTGGGCCCCGTGGGGTGGGGCTGCTCAGCCTGTGCTCAGGTTGACGTGGGGAGCTGATTTCCTCGCAGTTCCTTGGGGGTGAGGATGCGGTTCTCAGAGGCCAAGGCCAAGGAGGGTTTTTCCTGGCTGGTCCTGGAGAAATGGGGTAAACTAAGGCCCAAATGTAAACAGCATCTCCGGGAGAGCAGGCTGAGCCCAAGGAGTCCGGGGTCCCTGGGTGGGTCTTGGGTTTGCTCAGGGTTGGGTGAGGCAGGAAGGCCGAGAAGGGCAGGCCACTGTGCCTGCAAGGCCTCCAAAGGGAGTGGGATGGGGGTTGGGGCAAGTGAGGCCCAGGAGTGAAAGCCCAGACAGGGGTTGGGGGAGGAGGCTGGTGGTGCCACCAGAAGGGCCGTGGGGCAGGTAGACGCCCCAGGCCGTGGCAAGCACCCCCCTCTGCCAGGGTGACGCCCTGTCCAGCTAGACCGGCAGCCGGAGACCTGGCGGGCCAGGAAGAACCCGGCCAGCATGGGGTCAAGGCCAGCCTTCTCCCCTGGTCCTCCTCCCAGAGAATGTGGGCCTGAGGCCCCCCGGGCAGCGCGAGTGCAGGACTCGTCTGCCAGGGGCCAGCTGTGGAAAGGACAGGCCAGAGCTTTCCTCCAAGAGTATTTTACTGCATCTTAAAACGTGTTAACAACCTCGTACAAAACCCACTGTGGCCAAGAGCTCGCATGCCCGGCTCTGGGGGGCCACGGATGCCTTGAGTGAGGGGCAGGAAGGTGTGAAGCAGGAGCCCGAAGATTAAAAGTAGAAAAATTCTGCCTCCCACCCCCGCTCCATTCCACATCAAGGCCAGGACCCTAGTGGCACAGCCCCCCGGTGGTGACCACGTGAGTCTGCGTGTCCGGGGGTATGCTGTCCACACGGGCCGCCGACGGATGCCCGCCCACTCCTTCCAGGGCAAGTCTGACACATCTAAAAAAATACAGCCTTTCCTTCCACAAGGAAAATGTGATTTAATTCTACAAATTTACAAGCCAAGATAAAATAAAAATAAAACATGGAAAAGCAAACAGACGGACAGTCTGAGACTTGAGGTGGAGACCCATGGCCACGCCGGCTGTGTCCGCTCAGAGCAGGGCCCGGGTCTGGCCCCACACGTTGCCTCCGGCACCGGCCCGGGGCCCGGCTGAGTTGCACTGGGCAGCCCCCGCAGGGCTGGTGCGGGCTCTGTGCCGACCCTCAGAACTTGAGGCTGAAGCCGGGCCCCGCGGCCGAGGCTCCCTGGTTTGTGGTCGTGAGGTGGAAACCCGTCTCCTTCAAATCGTCGTCGCCCTGGGGAGCAAGTGGTGCTGTGGGGCCCCGGCTGCGCCAGCCCTGCCCCGGGGAGCCCCCACCCCTTCCCTCCTCTGCCGGCCCTGCCCCTCACCAGCTGGCTATAGCCCAGGCCTCCCTCTGGGGGCCGTGGGCTCGTGCCACGCTTCACCCTTTGCTGCTCACTCTTGGCGGGCCACGTGGGGAACATGGAGGGGTCGATGGGGAGGGGGGTCTCTCGGAAGTACTCATGCTTGAGGCCGTCCTCGGCACTGACTCTCCGCCCAGGGAAGTAGGTCAGGAACCTGGGGGAACAAGAGCACTTGGTACCCAGCACGGGAGCGGGGGTGGGGGGCGGGGTGCCCACAGGTTGACACACTTGTTCATCAGGTCAAAGCCCTGGTCTGAGAGCAGCGCCCCAAAGCGTTTACGGAGATTGTTATAGGGATATTCGGTGAAGGTCATCTTCTTGACCGCGGGGAGGTCATTGTAGCCAGGCCAGATTTTCTCACTGGGGGTCCCCAGGTCCTAAGAGAGAGAGACAGACAGGCAAGTCTCAGAATGGCCACAGCCTGCGGGGGAGGGTCTGGTCCGGGGTGCCTGCACATACCTGCCAGGGCGCCCCCACAGGCGGAAGCCACAGACGCACCTTAAACACTTTGTTGATCTGATCGATTTCCGACTTCCCAGGGAATAGCGGCTTCTGAGTCAGCAGCTCCCCAAAGATGCAGCCCACCGACCACATGTCCACAGCCGTGGAGTACTCCTGGGAGGCCAGGGGTGCACTCAGGGGGGCTGGCTGGGGCAGCAAACACGGGTTAGGCCCCCCAGCCCCCAGCACTCACCTTGGCGCCAAGCAGCAGCTCTGGGGCACGGTACCACAGGGTCACCACGACTGGAGTGTAGGCCTTCAGAGGGGACCCGTATTCTCTTGCCAGCCCGAAGTCGCCAACCTGCAAGGATGGAGGGCAGGCTGTGGGCAGACCTCTGAGGCCCGGGTGTTGGGCGCCCCGTGGGGTGAGCCGTGGGGGCTCACCTTGAGGATGCCAGCGTGGCTCAGCAGCAGGTTGGAGGTCTTCAGGTCCCGGTGCAGGATCCAGTTGTCATGCAGATGTTTCACACCACGCAGCAGCTGGATCATCAGGGTCTTCACCTCCCCTAGAGGGCAGTGGGTTACTGTCCTAGGTCATCTGCTCACCTCAGCAGCGACCAGGCTTCTTGGGGTGCATTCACCCCAGGAGCGCTCCCAGCTCAGCAGGGCCCTCCCACGCACACACACTCACGCACACGGTGTGACGGGCTCAGAGTCACAAGGTCAGGGACACCACCAGCAGCCGGGCAGCCCACGGGTGGGATGTTCCTCGTGGGGGACGCCAGAGGGCCGCATCCGTAGGAGTACCTCGGGGCCCCACCGTGCCCACGGGCCCCACCTGGCAAGAACGGCTGTTTCATGGTCTCCATCAGGCTCTTGAGGTCGTGCTCCACGTAGTTCATCACGATGTAGATCTTGTCCATGTTGCTGCCCACGACTATTTCCTAAAAAACGAAAGTTTGTGGGCACTGTGCTCACCTCCAGGCCCCACCTCTGCAACCACCGACTCCAGGAGTACAGACATGCAGAGATGGCAAGGGCCTGTAAAGTGCGATGACCATCAAGGGGCTGACGTCTGGGGTGAGGGGGGCTCGCACCTCGTTTCTGCACAACACGGGTTACGTGTGACTCACAGGCTGCTCTCGGGGCACAGGCCGGCGCTGCCTTACCCTGACCGTGACGATGTTGGGGTGCTGCGCCTTGAGGATGGTGTTGATCTCCCTCAGAGATGTGATTGGAAAGCCCTCTTTCTCCTTCTCCATCTTCAGCCGCTTCAAAGCCACAATTTCATCTGAAAACAATTCAAAGACAGGTTGAGCAAACCTTCCACAAACACACACTTGGCTGGGGCTCGGGAAGCACTTGCTGTGCACCGAGAAGTCTTGTTTTAACTGGAAAGTCCCGTATCATGTCAGCACCCAGAAAAAAACCCAACCCTGTCGCCTGACAGAAACATGAGGCCTATTTCCAGACCAGCTTTTGTCCAAAACAGCTAAGGAGGACTGTCCCATTTCTCTCTCTAGCCCTACTGTGATTTGCCAGGAGACACGGCAAACCTCAACATCCCAACAGGGAAACATTCATCAGGGCCTCAGGATCTCAGGTGGCCTCCCTGAGCTTCCAAGACCCAGATGTGGACGGTAGGGAAGCTTCTGGTCCACGATTCACACACCTGCTCAGGTGCTAGCACTCAAAGCAGACTCCACAGTCCCTTCTGGAGCCGAGGCACCTGCCGTCACAAGCAAGCAGCAGAGCCTACAGTCAGGCTGACCTCTGGACTCCACAGACATCAAGGAGTCAACTGCTCAGGGGCCCGTACTTGCCAGGTAAGGCAAGGCCATGACCGGGCATCTGGGGAGGGAAGACTCTCAGCAGAGTAGGAACTGCGTGTTCAACGACCTTGATACTGAGGGTGCCAAGGGTCAGGATGGCCCAGGTTTGGATCTCAGTCCAGGCCTGGATCTCAGTCCCTGCAAGCTGGCTGTGGCTGGAGCAAGACGCCCTGCCTCCCTCCCTCCCAGAGCCCGCATGTGGGCCCAGCAAACGCCAGGCTGGGCCTAAGAAAGGGCGGTGGGTGCACCCAAAGACAATGCTCCTCAGGAGAAATTCCTTCCTGCCCAAGGACAGGTTTTCTGTGCCGCCTGGTTCCTGTCCTACATTTGCCCTTCCCACCTTAGGGGACCACTCGATACTGCACCCACCTGTTTTCTTGTCCTTTGCTCTGTACACCACCCCGTAAGTGCCTTCTTCGATCCTATTCAGGCACTGGAATTCCTCCACGCTCCGACAGCCCTGAAAGGAAGCACACCATGAGGACACAGCAGCCGTGGCCACGCTCACACCTGCTTGAGCTGGTGCAGCAGTCCCTGCCCAGAATGTGTCTGGTGGCAGGGCCAGCAGCAGCCCTCCTCCCTGGCTTCTTCAGTGAGCACATGCTCTTGGCTTAAGAAATAAAACCAACATGGACAAAACCTGGTCCCGGGCACGTCCTCCTGAGCCAGGCCTGGCCGCCCTGCGCTAAGATAACAACGGGGACAGGAACGCCCGCGGCAGCACACCACCAAAGCCCCGGCACCTTCTCTCAAGGCACAGGTGACCCCAGTGGCAGATGCCCACACCAGGGGCCCCGCTCATGCTCTCAGCCCCCAGCCCTGTCCACCGTCGGCAAAGTCGAGCCAGCCCCGGGGTGGGGGACGCCTGACCTGCAGGGCAGGGAGGTACTTGGGCAGCTCTTGTTTGAGTTCAATGGGTGACAAGGCAGGAGAGTCGGGCACGAAGTCGCCTTCAGTCAGGGCGCTGCTCTGCGGAGTGCCCTCGCCGGCTTCTTCCTCCCCTTCCTCACTGTCTCCGGAGTCTCGGTCAAATCGGGACTCTGGAACTTCAAATGTTAAACCCAACTGTGGAACCAGGAATAAGCAATGTCATCACCCCTCTCCTGCTCTGGGGTGGGGGGGACACCGAGTGCACAACAGAGCCGCACGGGAGAGACCCCAGATGCTGCACATAGCTGCGTACCCCACCACTCTGGACAGAGGGCACTGGGGGGGGTCTCGGGGTTTGCCACCTCGGCCGTGAGCACTGGGAGCTGCTGACTGGAGCCGGGGCTCAAAGGCGGCCTGTCAGGCCCCGAGGGCATGGCCCGGCTGCTGCCTGCGGGAAGTGCGCGCCCTGCGGATGGAGCGGAGCTCAGAGGCCAGGGCAGAGGGCGCCTCCCTGCCGCGTCTAAGCCGCTGGGACGCTGAGGACGACATTCACTTAGCACTGCCCCTAGTCGGGGTGCTGGCCCTCCGCGGTCACAAGCGGGTCTCTCGGAGTCGGCTGCCTGTGCCTCGGGGGAGGGCCACGCACACAAGATGGCGGTCTGCTGGCTTTAGAAAGGGTCACGGCCGCTGAGGGGCAGCTGAGGGAAGGCCTGCGGGCGGGACCGCCCGGGGGGTGCCGCTCACCAACCAGGACGTGGCTCTCACTGTCACGCTCCCCGTCCTCACTCATCTCGTCCTCGCTCACTTCCTCTGCGAGAGAGAGCGGGCGTCTGCTCGGACCTGCTGGGCCGTTCAGAACCTCCACGAGCACAAACAAGGCTCTGCTTTAGCTACCCGGAAGCAAGAGCCACTGTAAACCGTCGATGTTGGGGTCTCATGTGAGTCCCAGATACCAAGGCATTTTCTGTTTGGAAGTATTTTTAAACTGAGAGCTCAAATGGTTTCTGTGCAGGTTCTAGACACTGAACGCAACCGCCGAGCCCTGCGCCCTCACCAGCCGACTGTCCGGACGCGTCCTCGGAGTTGCTCCCGGTCTCCTCCTCCTCTTCCTCCTCCTCCTCCGAGTCTTCGCTGCTGCTCCCCTCCTCCTCCTCCTCCTCCGAGCCCGACCCTGACTCCGCTTCGGGAAGAAAAGAGCCGGAAGTGCACGGTGGGGACCGGTGGGCCCTCCCTGCGTGGCGGCGGAGCCAGCGCCTACCTGACGAGGACTCGGCGGAGCTGGTTTTCCTCTCGCTGTCGCTGACGTCTTGTAGGTCGGACAGCAGGTCTCTCTCTTCCATTTTCTCCTCTTTTACTTGTGGAACAAACCGCCGAAGGTGAACGTGGCAAGTGCCTTACAATAAACAAGCCCCGACGGCGTCTTCCACGCAGAGACTAACTGGTCTGCGTGACGCACGGCTCCCCCACACTGAGCTGGAAGACACCGTGGCAAACGTCCCCACCGACAGACACAAACATACTTCACACAAGCGACAGCCCCATCACGCGACACGGGACAACTGGAGCGTATCATCTCATCATACACAAAAACACCAAGTGCTTGTGCTAAAACATCCGTCAGCGGAGTGCCATGCCATGCTGGCCCCCAGACACGCACTGTGCACCCTCACCTGGCTTCCGGCCGTCTGTCAGCTCAAACCTCTCTCGGGGTGGCCGGAGCGGGCTGCGACTCCAGTGGCTTGCTTTCACTTTGTCGCCATAGTCTTCTCTCATTGTTCGGTGATGCGTAGAAACTGGGGCACAGAACACAGTGGGACATGGAGCCGGCAGCGTCCTCTCCAGCAGGGGCCCAGCTCGGTCAGGTCTCACCCGCACCCTTGCCGGTGGTGATGCACAACACGTGCCCTGGCGACAGAGGCCTGGAGGCTGCGAACTGTCCCTGAGGACCCATGTGGACCTTCCAGACTCTTCTCCATTGGTCAAAAAGGGGCCACGACCCACCTCTTCGAGCCTGTGCCTGACCAGCGCGGGCAGCAGACACAGCTGTCCGGCACCAGGCCCGGGAAGGCCCCAGCCGCACACCCTCACCTCACACCTGCAGGGGCCGCAGCCTTCCTCGGCAGGGAATTACACGGTCAGGCTTAACTGCTGAGCCCCACGGCCCGTCCCCACTTCGCTCGGCCACCGTCCTGAGCGCCTCATCCCTCAGTGTCACCTGTGCAGCCCTGAGCTCACCCGTGGGAGCGGCACCCCGCCGCAGGGTGCGCCCACCCGCACCTTCCCTCCGGGCCTCGCGCTCCTTGCGCCGCTCCTCGGCCCGCCGCTCCCGCTCCTTCTGTTCCCGCTGCTCCTTCTGCTGCTCGCGCATCTTTCGTTCTCTCTCCCGCTTCCTCTCCAGCTGCTCAAGGCGGTCCCTGCAACAAGCACAGGCCAACTCTCTCTCCACAAACACAAAGTTTTCCTTTTTTGCCACGAGTGCTTTTTTTGTTCAAATTTAAAAGCCGTCCATTTAGGTTATGCAAACCATGGAGGACTGTTTAAAAGAAGACAGATGTCCACACATCCTGACAGCCACAACAGGATAAAGCAAGGGGCGCCTGGGTGGCTCAGTCAGTTAAGCATCTTTTTTTTTTTTTTTTAAAGATTCTCATTTATCCATTTAACAGAGATAGAGACAGAGCACAAGTAGGCAGAGTGGCAGACAGAGGGAGAGGGAGAAGCAGGCTCCCCGCCGAGCAGGGAGCCCAATGCGGGGGGCTCGATCCCAGGGCCCCGGGATCATGACCTGAGCCGAAGGCAGCCGCCCAAACGACTGAGCCACCCAGGCGCCCCAAACATCTGACTCTTGCTTTCAGCTCGGGTCATGACTTCAGGGTCGTGAGACTGAGCCCCACGTCAGGCTCCGTGTTTAGCACAGAGTCTGCTTGTCTCCCTCTCTCTGTCCCCCCGCCCGTTTGTGCGTTCTAATAAAATCTTTTTTTTTCTTTTTTTTAAAAACATATTTACTTGACGGAGAGAGATTGAGAGAGTGTGTGCGCTCACGCACAAGCAGGGGGAGTGGCAGGCAGAGGGAGAGGGAGAGGGAGAAGCAGACTCCACGCTGAGCACGGAGCCCGATGTGGGACCCCTGGGATCATGACCTGAGCTGAAGGCAGAGGCTTCACTGACTGAGCCACTCAGGTGCCCCTCAAATAAATAAAATTTTTTTTTTTTTTTTTTTTTAAAGATTTTATCTATTTGTTAGAGAAAGAGAGCACAAGCAGGGGGAGCGGCAGGCAGAGGGAGTAGCAGGCTTCCCGCTGAGCAGGGAGCCCGATGTGGGACTCAATCCCAGGACCCCGAGAGCATGACCCGAGCCGAAGGCAGCCGCTTAACCGACTGAGCCACCCAGTCATCCCACAAATAAATAAAATCTTAAAAAAAAATAATAAAGCAAAACACTGGCACAATGAGGTAAGTGCCAATGAGGAATGAGCCTACTGCTTCCAGATGCCTGTTTAGCAGACCTGCTAGGTATGGATGACACCACAATTTAAATCCACCTTTATCACTAAGTTTTCAGGGGCTACAGAGGGGGTAGAAGAGTCCAGCTGAGGGAGGTCGGGAGGAGGATCTAGACTCAGGCCAGGGGCCCCGTCGACCCTCCTTACTGGATTCTATGGCAGATGGACCCCCCAGGCGATTCCCCAGCCCAGCCTGGCATGGAGGTCAGCGGGCCTGAGTGTGATATGTGAAGGGCAGTGGGGAAAGCTGCTTCATGAAGGCGGCAAGAGTCATCCGAGTACTGCGGTGTGTGTGGCTAACTGCACCACAACGCGGCAGATAGTGAAAACTGGCCAGTTACAGTAAAGTTTCATGTCCCTACGGTTATGTCCAAATATAAAAAGCTAATACATTTAATAAAAAAAAAAAAAAAAAGTAAGTACCAGTATACACAAACAGAAATGAGCAAAACAATGGCGAAAACAGAACACGGCCCATGGTCCAGTCACCAGTACTGTACAACTTTGGAGCCCATCGTATGTCACCACTGCAGAAGGCTGGGCTTCTAGAAACTATTCTCTAAGTGCCTGAGTCCAAACTGTTGTGAGATAAAAGCTGTAACGTAACATATGAAATCCAACCACAGAATTCCATTTTTCATAAGCTTATGGAATTGTGCAACCGTCACCACAAGCCAGTTTTAAAACATGCCCATTGCCTGATAGGCCCCCTCACGCCCATCTGTGGCTAGCTCCTAGCCTGCCCCATGAACCTGCTTCTGTCTGCTTGGGATTCTGTGGATGTTCCTTCTGCTTGCTTTGGGTTGAGTCTGCTTCTCTGTTCTGCTTTCTGCAGAAGCTCGGATGCTGACCTGACAACTTCCTTCTCGGTTATCAGTGCTTAAAAGCCAAAACATCTCACTCCATGCACAGCCTTTTCTGCATCACTAACTTTTGGCACACTCCTTTTGTTTTCATTCAGTTCAAAAAAATTTTTTTTTTCTCCAGTAGACTCCATGTTCAGTGAGGCGCCCAACGCAGGGCTTGAACTCACCACCCTGAGATCAAGACCCGAGATGAGATCAAGTCGGATGCTTAACTGACTGAGCCACCCAGGCATCCGTTTTTCCTTCTAATTTCTTCTTTGGGCCGTAGGTTATGTAGGAAAGGACTGTTGGATTTCCATTTGAGCATGTCCTCAGGTTTTTTTCTGTGTGTTGATTTCTACTTTAATCCTTTTGTGGTAAGAGGGTGTACTTTGTACAATCTCAATTCTCTTAGATTCGGAACTTGTGTGGCCCACATATGATCTATGCTGGACAATGTTCCCTCTCAAGTGTGTACTCTGCAGCTGTGGGTGGAGTGCTAAATGCAAAGTCAGTGAGACTGAGCTGGTGCAGGTTATTTTCCAGATGTTTTATATCCTTTTCTCTAGTTCTGTCAATGATGACAATGTGGTATTGAAATTTCCAACTAGAACTGATGAACTGCCTATTTCCCCTTTCAGCTATCAGGCACAGACACGTTCACCACCATCACTTCTTTCTGCTGCACGGACCCTTCTGTCGTTGGGAAGCCTGTGTCAGCGCTGGTCTGACTTGTCAGGTAACTCTGATGTGTCGCCTGAGCCACTTGTGCTCTGCAGCTGCTGTGGGCATGGGACATCTCTGTCCGTATGTTTACTTTTGACTTATTTTTGTCCTGGACTCAGAGGTTCTCCTTACAGACAACTTACTGTATCTTGCTTTGCTATCAAAGAACCTCTCCTCTGGGATATAGAAAACATTCTACGGTTCATGTAATCATGGATTTGGCTGAATTTACTTTCTGTTATTGTTTTAATTTTGTGTCTTTTTAGGTCCTGTTTCTCCCTTTTTGGTTTAAATAAGGATTTTTAAGAATACCATGTTAATTCCTCTGTTTGTATTAATTATTTTCTGAGTGGTTGCTCCAGCACGGAAGTATGCACCTTATCATTCCAGTGAATGTAGAGGCTCTGCTCTGACACAGCTCCAGCCCTCCCTTCTCTGTGCAGCCTACACATGCTACGTGTCACGTGAGAGCATTTTAATAATCACTGTTTTATGCAGTCCTGTGTCTCTTACAGAAATTAAGAGAAGACATGAGAAGAAACACTTATAGATTCTGTTACGTTAACCTGAGCCTTTACCATTTCCAGTGCTCGTCTTTTCTTCCTTCTTCCTTTTCTTCCCTGATACCTTCTGCTGTCACTTCCATTCAACATGAAGGTATTCCTTGAGTATTTAAGGCAGGTCTTGCTCACAATGAATTCCACCAGTTTATCTTCCTTATTCCCCCTCACTTTTGAAGAACAGTTTTGCTGGATACAGAATTCCTGGTTGCCAGGCTTTCTTTCTGCAGTGGGACCATGCCATTCCACCACCTTCTGGCCCCCACTGACTCTGAGAAGTCAGCCTCAATCACACTGAAGCCTTCCTTCTATGTAGATTTTTTCTCCTGCTTTCAAGATTTTCTCTTTGGCTTTCACGTTTCACTGTGATGTCACTTTATTTATCCTATTTGGGGTATGAGCTTCTAGGATGTATAGATAAATGATTTTCTTTTTTTTTTTTTTTTTAAGATTTTATTCATTTATTTGACAGAGAGACAGCGAGAGAGGGAACACAGGCAGGGGGAGTGGGAGAGGGAGAAGCAGGCCTCCCGCAGAGCAAAGAGCCTGACGTGGGGCTTGATCCCAGGATCCCGGCTGAGCCACCACCCAGGTGCCCCAAATGTTTTTCATCTTTGAGGCTCTGTTCATCTTTTGTCAATTCTCTCCATTCTTTAGAAAGCATAATTTCTATCACTCCATTTCAAGTTCCTTGCTAATGTGGAACATTTGATTTCTACTGATGCTTTTCTTCCTTAATACAGGGTCATACTTTCCTATTTCTTTTATATCTCAAAACTTTTTGAAAAAAAAAACAAAAAAACCTTTTTGTTGAAAATTGGGACATATTTCAGGGGCACTCTAACAAAACCTTTTTTTTTTTTTTTTAAGATTTTATTTATTTGACTGAGAGAGAGAACACAAGCGGGGCGGGGGGGAGGTGGCAGGCAGAGGGAGAGGGAGCAGACTCCCCACTGAGCAGGGAGACCGAAGTGGGGCTCCATCCCAGGACCCTGGGATCATGACCTGAGCTGAAGGCAGATGCTTAACTGACTAAGCAACCCAGGTGCTCCTCTAACAAAATCTTAAAAAAAAGAAAAGAAAAGAAAAGAAAATTGGATATTTCAGATAACATACTGTAGCAACTTTGGATTCTCATTTTTTCTCTCAGTTGCCATGGCAACACGCCATGCTAATCTGTGAACTCTGTCTCCCGACTAGAGTGCAGCCACTGATGTTTTTTTTCCCATACGTTTTTTATTTTCAGGCTTGGCTTCCTTGGAGTTACCGCTGTGTGTGCACAGCTGTGGGGTCATCCTAAACAGAGTCAGCACAGGGCCTGGCAAACATGGGTGTTTCACATGCTAGCAGTGAACCTGGACACAGAGCTCTGCTAACCTCATGATCTCAGACTTTTACCTGAAGACAGCTCGTCCCACAGCGCCTCCACGAGAGAACAAAGGCTCTTGTGACATCTTCGTCAGTTGAGCCCTCGGCCTTGGCTCTGGGAATGTTGGCACATCTACCCCCCTACTTCTCCCTTCCTTGTAGCAGGCCACCCACCAGCTTTCTCTGGAAATGACCTCAATATACACAGGTGGCCCTACTATTCACATCACAGATCTGGGGCTAAACAGATGCTTTTTCCTGGGAATCTGAGCCCGCAGAGGTGTACTTGGAGACATGTCCGAGAGTCTGGTGTCTCAGCTCCCAGGCTGCTACCAAGCCGTTGGGATTTCCTTTTGTTTGTCTGAAAGAACTCCAGTCTATTCCTGCAGCCTACAGTCTATTAGAGAACCCGAAGCAATGTATTTCCTTAGTTTTTCTGGCTTAGGCCACCTAGAACAGAGCTTGGTCCAGAGCACACACTCAATAAATACTTGCCCCGTAATTACCCTCAACTAGACTTCTCCTGGGTACAGATTCTGTCTCAGGAGTTCTATACGTGCACTGGGCTATCTCCAAGAGCGCCTCACTATGATTCGAACACAATGCTTCCCTTCCTCTCACGAGGCACGCCCCATCCTGAGGCACCAAGCTCAGAGGTATTTACAGTCCCTCCTCCCCCTCACCCATCATCAGCTGAGAGGCCTAGGAAAATCACTTCTCCCTCTACCTTCCTTTCCCTCTCCACTGTTAGGTGTTTGGCCCCAAAACTTCATTCCCTGTGTCTGAATTCCCATCTCAGACCCAGCTCCTGCCAGCAATGCCCCTTCCTTCAGGTCCACGTCACACTCTTACACGGGGTCTCGAGCAACTGCCAGCATGGCCTTGCTCCCAAGTACCTCCCTCACCAGCCTCCACCTGGAGAAACCGACACAGAGTTCCATTCCCTTCATTATCTTTTCTCAGGAAGACTCACACCCATTTCAGTCTTCAAGATGCAGTAAAAACTCAATCCCTTCAGGACAAATCTCTTGGCTGGCACCACCACGCTTACTGCACCGTGACTCTGGGCTCACAAACCACTTCTGCATCACATGTGTTATGCTGCCGGGTCACTGTGTGTCAAGATGGTCTCTTCTGCCACTCTGATGGCCTACTGGCCCCAGGAGCGCCCCGTCCAGGCTCCTTAGCACACTGTGCTCACTCACCGCTCCCTTCTGGAGTGTTCCCGGGCCATCTCCCTCCTCTTCTGCCTCTCCCACTCTCGGCGAGCCTTGTCCTGCTCCTCTCGGTGCCGTTTCCGGCGCTCGTGCTCTCGCTCTTTTTCCTTTGCCCTAGCGTGCTTCCCTGGGGAGGAAGAGAGTGTCATGCAAGGGGTCCAACTCCCCAAACTTAATTTGCAAATACCCAGTGAAGAAGAGAATCCTTAATTAATGATTTGGAGCCTCCAAATCAGGGAAAAACAACGTGGTGACCACGGAAGAGAATTTTAAGTACATCTTGTTTTTCAACTTTCTGTATTAAATAAACTATGACTGGACTATAGCTGACCAATGAACACGGGGCAGGGGCACTGACACCCCTGCGGCCAGAAATCCAAGGGTAATTATGAACCCTGAACAGGCAGCTACTAACAGCCTACTGCTAACCAGAAGCTTTACTGACAACACATCTTTTGTGTCACACGTGTTCCCTACTGTACTCCTAAATTGTGTAAGCTACACAAAAGAGACTATCACTAGAAGAACTAGAAGGAACGGAAAGTGTGTTTACGGCACTGTCCTGCATTTACCAGGAAACATCCGTGTGCAAGCGGACCATGGAGTTCCAGCCCGTGCTGTTCAGGGGTCAGGTGTACACCAGTTCCGTAATTAAACAACATCATCATTCATAAAGAACACAGGACAAAGTTCAACTTCTTCTGGTGGATTTCCATCTTGTGTGACAGAACCACGTTCATCAACTGCATTGGTAACACGAAACTTAAACCAGGTGCCAGGGCCATGTTTCCCAACACCCCTAAAAACCTCTTAATGGTAGGAGATCAAACCCATTTGGACTTCATCAAACATCTTTTTTTCCTTCAGTTACTTCAACACTGAACTGCTATAAAAATTGCATAATAAATACCCTATATTCGTTGAATTAAGACGATACAACCTTTAAACGAACTAACCCACAACAATGTAACAAGGGGAAAAAACACCAGAAGAAAAATGAAACACCTATTCAGAATGATCTACAATAAATTTATGCTTTCAGCTAAAATTTTACTTTCTCTTCTCTTTCAATTGTGTTCTGGAGACGGCAGCAGATCATGATATAGGAAACAGACCACACTTAAGCAGGAAACCAAAACCCCCCCCCCCAAAAAAAGCCCAAAGCAAACGAACAAAGAAAAAACTTAAAAAAAAAAAAAATTTAATTAAAAAAAAGCTTCCGTACCCCCTTCTGCTGAATGGCTGCGATGCCTGCGCTTCTCTTTCCTCTTTTCATCTTTTCTGTGATGAGCCTTTTCTTTCCGAGACATTTGCTGCGGTGGTTTGATAGCCAAAGAGTCATCTTCCTCCCCTCTGAAACACACAACAGCACCGAACCGTGCTGGGGGGGGGTGACTTCCTCCCCTCTGAAACACACAACAGCACCACACCGTGCTGGGGGGGTGACTTCCTCCCCCTCTGAAACACACAACAGCACCGCACCGTGCTGGGGGGGGGTGAGAGGGGCCTCAGGGCGCTGTGCAGCTTCTCTAACCAGAAACACGCAGCGTTCAGAGTACAAAGGAGTGCAATCTGCACTATCATTTTAAACACTGTTAACTATGAAACTTAAGCCAAAACTGCTTGTCTAATACAGACTCAGACCAAAAGTGTAAGTGAAAAATCAACGTCTATATGGAACAATGCCTCTCTGAGGAAACTTGAGGGACAACAGACATGTTCATTACCCTGATCCTAACTGCACAAGTATGTACAAATATGTCAAACTGCACACTTCATATATATATATGCAGTTTGTCACTTATATACCAACAAAGCTCTTAATAAAAAAAAAAGGTACCACAATTTTAATAAAACTTAATGACCCCAAAAGGTCCCTCAATATCTTCAACTGCCTGTATGACTGAAATTCTGGGAGACTTCTTGATCTATGTCTCTGTACCTTAATTTCTGGTTAGGTTGGCTTTAATTATCTGATGATGGGTACAAGAAGGAATCAAGTGGTGCAGGGAAAAATGTTAGAATACACAGGCCTGGGTAGGACCATTTCTGCTTACAGGACTTGCTCACTATACTTCAGTACTCTAGTGTGGTTTATCTGTGCACAATTTTAGGCAGTGATTTTATTACTCATCAAAAGCACACAGAACAATTATTTAAATGTAGTTCGTGAGGGGCGCCTGGGCGGCTCAGTCAGTGAAATGTCTGCCTTTGGCTCAGATCACGATCCCAGGGTCCTGGGATGGAGCCTAGTGTCGGGCTCCCTGCTCAGTGGGGAGTCTGCTTCTCCCTCTCCCACTGCCCCTACCCCTGCTCTTGCACTCTCTCAAAAATATAAAAACCCTTAAAAACAAACAAACAAACAAACAAACAAACGTAGTTTGTGGACTTAACTGAACGATAATTGCAAGGAAAGAGATAAACACTCATTCAATTTTCATAACAGGGGTGCGGTGGCAAGTGATAACACACAGAGTCTATCTCAACTGTGAGGTAAACCTGAAGTCATGACTACATATGTTTTCCAAAGTAACACTGACAAAAGTCAGACAGGACCCCTGCTATGCGGTGGGACCCAGCTGGCCTCCACAGTGAAGTGCACGTGCAGCCCGGATGCTCTTCCCTGCTGTACACCTCGCCCCCACCTGTCTTCCATGGAGTCCTCTCTTCTGTATGGTGAGTTCCGTATCGTTATCTCCATGCGGTGGTCCCTCAGCTCCCCCTCCTCAAGGGAATCCCGCTTGGAATCCCGGTCATCAGACTAAGGAGCAAGGAGAAAGTCATTTTCCTCACAGATAAGTGTCTTTTAAATGATAATCAAACCTTGCCAACATCCAAAAACAAAGTTTCACATATGCTTTGAATGGACCAATGTTACAAAATATGAAAAAACTTTCACTCAAATCACATGATGCTAAAATTAAAACTCGCTGTAAACTCAGAACCTGAGATGAAAAATTTGAAACCAGCATACAGGACAAGGAATATTAGACTCTATGCCAAGTATGTTAGTTGTTTATATAAGCTGAAATTGAGCCCTAAGATATATTTTATGCCAGATACTTCGTGATATTTCACCAATCGTTAACAAGGGTCAGTGACTAATATTATCAGAAGAGGTACTTCTGCCAATATCCCTTTCAAAATTACCAAAAGTTTCTCTGAATATGTTATTATGCAAACCAAAGGAGGAAAAGATGAAACGTTAATATTAATTTCAACGTGACTTCCTACTATGCTAAACATAGAGACGGTGTCACAGACAGAAAATATCAATATGAGAAAAATTAGTCCAATTGTGCTAATGAATTTAGGCTCAAAGTACTTCATTCTCCATGTAGATCCTGACATCTATACACAGCTGTAGCATGTTATCAATTTGTCCTCAACTTGTAAACTGAGTATTTGAATGTTTTTGTTAATTTTTAAAACAGATTTTGGGCTCACCTGCGACATTTGGAAGTACAAAAGAACTTCACCGAAGAAGCGTTGTTCTAATGGAAAAACGAGGGCAAAGAAATTAAATCTCCTTTAAGAAAACCACTTACTTAAAAAACATGGCTTACATTTTTTAAGCGTTTTATCTCTGCTTTCTCCTCTTGCTCCTTCCGTCGTTTCTTCTCCTGAAGAATTTCATCTAAAGTTTTCACCTTCCAAGAGTCCTTTTCATCACCCATTGGAGTTAAAACGCTGCGGAGAGAAAGAGAATTGAAACTCCGTCAGGACACAGCAACTCCGGCTCCGCGTCGCGCGGCTTCCGAACGAGCCCCGTGAAGGGGAGCGAGGCCCGCGCCCGAATCCCTGTCACTCCTGTCATTCCCGCACGGTCCTGGGCAAGTTCCCTCGCCCCCGGTTACCTTTCTGCCAAAGCTAAGAACAGCCCCGCTGGGAGCGACATGAGATCCTCCGTGCAGAGCTCGCAGCTCGCTCCCCGGGCCTCCCCGCGCACGGGGTTTGCCGTCAGGAGGGTCGCGGCCCCCGTCACAGGGTCCGGGAGCCGGGGTGGGGCGCGCTGCGACACGGCCGCGGCGCCGGGACCCTCGCCCCCCGGGCGGCCCGACGCCGCCTCAACCCCCAGCTCCGCGCGGGGCGCCGGGGCGGGAAGCGACGCCCAGACGCGAGAGGTCAGGGAGCTGGCCGCGCCCGCCGCTCGTTCCAGCCCTCCGCCACTCACCCCTGCACTACTGCCGCCGCCGCCGCCGCCGCCGCCGCCGGTCCCGGAGCCTGAGGAGAAATAGCGCCCGGCGCGCGCCAGTAGCGTCGCCACTTCCTGCGTCGGCGCGGACTGATGACACACGAGGGCGGAGCCCGCCGCCGCCTCGGGGGGGAGGGGATCCGGCGCGCGGGCCTCACGTCACTTCCGCCCTGGGATCCCTCGGTGGTTCCACCCTACCGACCCCGAGCCGCCGCCGCGGGGCCCCTGGTTGGGCCGCGCGCCTACCCTCGCTCCCCGGGACCTGTCCCTGCCCCGCTCGGCACCCTGCCGGCCTTCGTGGTTTCAGAGGGCCGCAGAGGCGGGGAAGAGAACGGAAGATAGACGGGCGTCCACATTAATGACATTTGAAACGGAAAATGCAGACTGTGACGAATTCGGGCGTAAAGAGGGCGAGTGGAACGGAGACCGATTTTCCTGAGTTCTTGGGGACAGGAAAACCTTCGCTTTTTCCTCCCTTCATGCTGAAAACTGGGGAGGCCACAGGCAGCGGCCGTGGAATCAGCTCAGGAGCGCAGAGGACGGTCCCCCAGGGACGAGAACGCGGACGGACACGGTTCACGTTTATTGTACTTTTGCAGAACGAGAGTCCCAGGTGGTTGATTCAGACAGAAATGGCCAAGAGCATCGATGCATCACCGCCGCAGATTTAACAACCATTTCGAGAAAGTACTGATCCAGTCACTTGAACACAAACCGGTGAAAGTGGCAGCACACACATTTTTACAACGCACTTTCAGTTCTCCAGTTTTGTTTGGTATAAAGCAAATAAAACTTGGTTCAGATGTAGACAGTTATTGACGTAATTTTCAAGTTTTCCAGTGTGGGAAAGTCACCAGGACTGTGGCCCTCCCCAACCTAGAGCCCAGGACACCCCCTGGGCAGGTTCAGAATCAACTTACACATCTGCAAACAGACTAGAAATAGCCAATAAATGTCAGTTTTACTCAAATCAAAACTGGGGGGAGGGCGCCTGGGTGGCCCAGATGGTTAAGCGTCTGCCTTCGGCTCGGGTCATGATCCCAGGGTCCTGGGATCGAGTCTCGTATCAGGGTCCCTGCTCCTTGGGAGCCTGCTTCTCCCTCTGCCTCTCTCTCTCTCTCTGTCTCTCATGAATAAATAAATAAAAAGTTTAAAAAAAAAAAAAACTGGGGGGAAAAATTTGTGAGCGCCTGGCTGGCTCAGTTGGTGGAGCATGTGACTCTTGATCTTATTGTGAGTTGGAGCCCCACACTGGGTGTAGAGATTACTTAAAAATAAAATCTTTAGGGGCGCCTGGGTAGCTCAGTCGGTTAAGCATCTGCCTTCAGCTCAGGTCATGATCCCAGGGTCCTGGGATCGAGCCCCGCATCTGGCTCCCTGCTCCGCGGGAAGCCCGCTTCTCCCTCTCCCACTGCCCCTGCTTGTGTCCCCTCTCTCGCTGTCTCTCAAAATCTTTAAAAAAATAAAATTGTTACCAATTAGAATAGTTTTCAACTGTTTCAAATCGGCATGGATCCAGTGCCCATCAAACCCAGAATCAGAACCCTCAGGAAAACTGGAAGAAATTCTTCAGAGATGGCAAAGTTGGAAGGTTTTCAACCCGAGTCGCAGGGAGGTCAGCACAACCTCACCTCTGCTCTTGGCTCCTCAGCCAGGAGAGAGGGAAACAGGCAGATTCACCAGGGGAGCTGGGGGCATTCTTATTTATAAACTAAGGAATGAAGAGGCCCCAACCAGAGCATGTATGGATTTTGTGAAAGAATGAAGCCCTTAGTACAACGTTGGTCAAAGGCAAAAGAAAAGATTTCTATCTGCAGTAACATTCTTTTATTTTTCCAACCCAGGGAAACAGTGAAAATACTTCCAGGCCTTGGGAAAGCACATCACCAGACAGATGTAAAAAGCCATGTGGTGCGTGTGTCATCCCTACTGGCCTGTCCAAGTGACCATTCACAGGCAGAACCCACTGGTTCTGGGAAAAGCATTTCCAGCGTGGGTTATGGGCACGACTGTACTTGGCTAATGTTCTTTGTGCAGCGTGTGACTGTTTCTGATTCACCATGTGTATTTTTCTCAAATTAAAGACAAATTTTGGATTGTGCAAGATATTCTAAGCTTTCCAAGGCAGATTTTTTTAATGCTGATATAGAGGAAATTATGACTACTGGAATAAAAAATAAAAAATAAAAAAGCTTTTTATGCCCTTCAGTGGAAGTTTCCTTGAAAGCCAGACATACGTACATCTCTAAATATCGATGTAGGTAAGCAGGTGACCTGACTTGACACCTGTTTGAAGTGTTTGTTTTTTTTTTGCAAAGGCAGACAACGATCATGGACATGGAGGAACTGACCCAAGGAAGCGGTGACACCAGTGTCAACGTTAATGCAAGCATGTCTGCTATGGTTCAGTAAGAACATACTAATAAAAACACTACTACACAGAGTTAATAAAAAACATGTCTGTACATTCATTCAACAAATGGCCAAGACAGGCCCTGGGTTTTGTCTCCTGGCAGGGCTGTCCTGCACATGCTTTAGGGTGGAGACTAGACACTGGAAGAAGAAACGTAAGCCCCGGGCCAGGGCAGTGCTGGCCACAGCTTGTGTTTGAGGAAATGTCTCAAAAGCAGCTTTGTTGGAAATGATCTCATTTGCTAATAATTTAGGAAAATCTTCATTTTGTTTCTGATCCAAGAATTTGGAAAATCAAAACTAGCAGAAAGCCACTTCAGTGGAGACAGGGCACAGGTGACGTGCAGGGTGGTTGGTCCCTCATGAGGCTCAGAAGCAGGCGCTGCCCATCTGGCTATGCTCAGATGACCACAACCGTGAGAAAGGCAACATGAATCTGTCTTGCAACAAGATGACTACAGCTGCGTCCTCTTCTCTGCTCACGGCCTGTCAGTAGCTGGTCATGGCAGCCACATTCTCGAGGGGGGCGCAGGGTGCTGTGGAGGCTGCGCTTTCACGCTGGTCCTCACAGATGCATGTACATGCTGCTGCCCCAGCCACCTCCAACGAGTCCCCTTCGCTGTTGTTTGTGGAGGAAGCAGAGAGGAAACGGGACAGAGATGGGGAAAGTCTCATGATAAACATCACAGCGGAGCGGAGCTTGACATGCAGTAGAACGCACACCTGCTTGTCCTCTGGGCACAGCTTCATAAAATTTTGAAGTCAGCTTTATGAAGTCAGCTTCATAAAAAGGTTGTAGTTTTTTGTTTTGTTTTTGGTGGAAAACGTGGGCATTGATAAAAGGTTGTAGTTTTAAAGGCCTTGTTGTAACCCATCATCATGGCAAACTTTTTCAAGTAGGGAGAAGTTAATGAGACATAATTACTGCTCTTTGTTTCCGAGAGATTTGATCTCTAGGGGGGCCTATTTTTATATTTTCCAGCTGAGAAACCAACTGGAAAACCAGTGAAGAGATGATGGGAGCCAAGGACCTGAACAGGGAGGGGAACTCAGACGCGGGGGCCGTTAGCGCCCGAGGCCCTCCTGTCGCCTACTTCACTCAGCCGTGGCAGGCAGGCCTCAGATGGCCGTGTCACCGCCGACGTCCTCTGCGTCAGGCTGCAGGTGACATGCCCCAGCGCGGGAGCTTGGCGCCATGGAGAGGTCTTAGAGCCTGGCTGGCAGCCCCGATCGGAAATTCCACCAGGATGTGAGATGAGGAGCAGAGGGAAGAGGCCAGGAGCCTGAACCCAGCGAAGAGCTCAGACGCCCAGCATGGTAGTCGGTCTGCTCTGGGAGGTGAGAGCCAGGCCGAGCCAGGCTGTGAGTTCAGTGTGGGTTACCTGTTATACAGGATGCCTTCCAGAAGCCACCTGTTTCCTTCCTTAAAAACTCCACTGTCATTGTAAATGCAATGTGACAAAAACTGTGAACACACCAAATGTTCTTCCCAGCGCCCCCCTGCTCACTCATTCATGAGGGAAACCCTTAGCATCCTTGCCCACGAGACAAGGTATGGTGCGGCCCCTGACCAGCAGGGTGATGGCAGGAGCACCTCTAGGGAACCCTTCAGAACAGCCAGTGTTACAACAGGGGACCCAAAAACAAAAGGGAATGTCAGTATATCCCTGTCCTGAGTTAAACACCACAGATGTCTGTCTGTCCTCCACCAGTGACCAGCAATCACCACCTCGGGGGTCCCTGACTGAAGGCCAGCCACAGGTGAGGGTTGGGACCCTCAGGATGGGGGGGGGGCTAGTGCAGCAGAGACCCTGAAAGGGGTGGGGCACCTTCCCTTTCACCAGTGGCCTTTCCCTAAGTGGCACCAGCTGCTGGCAGCTCTGGGGTGCGGAGGATGTTGTGGGTGGAAGGGCAGGAAGGTGAGGACCCAACAGCCTGCCCTCAGCAGCAGGAACCCTTATTTCTGTGCCCTTTCCACTCTCTCCTAGCTCTGTGGTCACTTGGCTGCTGTGGCCTCTGGCCCAGGCAGTGGGTGCCTCAGCCTTCTGTCTCAGTATGGCAGTACCCCCGACGGCTGAAGGGCAGTGTGCAGGCCCGGGACGCTGAGTGGGCACTGTGCCGTGGGTGTGGTGCACGTTGGCACCTGTGGCTGTCACCCCCGGGGGAACTGGGCCTGGCCTAACTGCAGCCGGACCTGCGTGCTGGTGAGGGCGTGCAGAGGCCAGTGTGGGTCCTGACCGCCCTCCCCTGCGCTCAGCACAGGGTCAGCAGGAGGGGGTTTTCACAGTACAGGCTCAGCAGCAGCTGGCTCTGGTCTCCACCTGGGGAAGCTGACACCCGTTCCTGGTGGTTTTCACTGAAAACCCAAGAAAGGAGCAGGGAAGGCGGCACGTCACCCCACTGACCCGAGGAGGCTGGGTGTTCGCGTCAGCGAGGACAGCCGCCGCGGGCAGCACCTCGGGGCCCCGGGCACCTGCCGAGGCTTCCAGAGCTCAGTGGTGTGGTCTGGGGTCCTTGGGGGTCAGTGGCTCCATGTCGTCCTCTGGTGTCCGGCTGGCGGTCACAGCCAGGCTCTGCATGGCCTCCCGCTGATGCTGCTTGGCTTTGTTGTAGAGCAGGACACCGGCCGTCACTAGGATGGTGCCGACGGCCGACAGGC